TGGAACAAGCAGTGGAGTGGTATGGCACAAGTAGTAGAGTGGTACACTACAAGCAGTAGAGTGGTACACCACAAGCAGTAGTGTGGTATGACACAAGCAGTAGAGAGGTATGGTACAAGCAGTATAGGGCAGGAAACAAACCCATTTTGGGGGTGTTATTAGATCAAATTGAGAGGTATACATGATCTATATATCAAATTAAAGCTGAAGAGCTATAGAATAATATTTGACATGATGTGGAAAAATTCGCGTGGACACTTTCTGGTAAAACCTGATTTTGGGTCAAAAACACTAAAAATCATAATTTCCAAATATCTTGATTAATTTTCAAACTATTGACCCCATTCAAACAAATTCACCATCAAATGAAAGGTTGTTCTCTGTACAATAGAAAAATAATAGTGATTGCAATATTTAGACATAAAAGTTTCGTTGCATGATTGAAAATTTGGGTAAAAAATGTAATTTTCGGTCCTCCTTTTTTTGTCAGGTATGATACAGTAGAATAATAATAAATCTAATTGGTATAATTTCAAAATTATCTTTTAATCACTCATCACTATCATCATTACAGGTAAAGATACATTAATATCTCTAAGATAGAACATTGTTAAAGATACTGAAATATAAGTGTAATGTCTTGTGTTAAAGGTTATTGTAATAACTAACAACTTGGAAAAGGAATATGATTATTACACAGGTCATTCTTCATTGTCACTGGTTATCTTCACCAAGATCATTCATGGTGTTAGTGCAATTCTGTCCACGCTTGCAAGGACACAGTTCAATACAGATTGCTCTGTCTAGAAATGCACCACACTGAGGAGCATGGGGACTTGCAACAGGTGCAAACAAGGCAGTCAAGAACTTCCAAAGCAGTTTGATGTTCAAACAATGTGGGGTTGAGCAATCCATTCACCCTAGTCCAGGCAAAATCTTCAAGGTTACCAAACTCTGGTTTACCACAATGAGAACTTGTCCAGATGCTAGTTTGCCGCATCACACGCTTAACGTGCTGTCGAAAGCTGTCTTCGCATGAGGGAACTTGGGCAAGCTCAATGTCTCTTAGTCGACATAGTTGAAATCTCATGTCATTCAAAGAGTGACGTGGTTTAACCTTCTTCCTGGGGTCATGAAAGGCTGACGTTAGATTGCCTGCAGACCTCCTCTGCTGCATCAAGGTTTCCTGAAGATAAGACTTGATGACTTGAAAAAGATCTTTGTCTTTCATCTTTGTCTTTGTCTTCTTGCCAACATGAAAATAATGCTGATGACGTATCTCAGCCAGTAAAGGCAAAGCAAATGACATTGATGATCCAAGAAGATGGCAGATGTTATGGACAGGATTGAACCGGTGCTTGTCCGTGACTTCAGAAGACACTCCAGTTTTCACGGACATGCTCCATTTGTGGACAATAGCAGATATATAGTATGACAACATCTGTATCAGGGGACTTGATGATGATACTTCCTTGGGTATGCCTCTCTTCAAACTCACCATTGCAGTACATGGCGTTGAAGAGCATGCATGTATCAACTTCTTCTTGAGAACTTTCAAGTGCATCAATGCAAGCATCACCAGTTGGAGGGATCAACTTGGTCACCATTCCATCTTCATATCTTCCTGAGAGATACAATCCTCCTTGTGGTTCTGTTGACACTGTAGCAACTTGGACTTTGGTACACAAAACGTTAACTGTGACATGTTCTCAGATACACCAAGAAACTTGTTCCACTGTGGAATCTGTCTGCCTGATGACACTTGATACTTCTTGCCGGTGTTGAGGTCAGCTCTTCAGGAACGTTCTGCAGACTTAGTGGAGTTGCGATTGTCATACTGGTCGAACATATCTATGACAGTATCAGCCCTTGTGAAACACTGCTTCATATTTTGCATAAAACTGTCACCAACACTATCAAACGCGGAGGGAATGGCAGGTTTCATACTTATCAATATTGCCATTGTATCGCGAATGTTTACTCTTTTGGACTTGGTCCCTTTAAGTCCATTTCTCTTTGAAGTTAACCTGAAATAAGGAAAGTTTCATCATTAAATCTTCTTACATTTTTTAACAGTAGAACATATTTCATAAAGAGAGTGGGTGGTGGGGTAGTACAGTGGTTAAGGCGTTCGCTCATCATGCTGAAGACCCTGGTTCGATTCCCCACATGGGTACAATGTGTGAAGTCCATTTCGCCGTGATAGTCCGCCGTGATAGTGCTGAAATGTTGCTAAAAGCGGTGTAAAACTAAACTCACTCATAAAGAGAATTCCTTTCTTAAACATGAAAGGTCATTATGATTTGGGTTAAGAGCAACATTTAAAGTAAATACATCTTACAAATAAAGGTAGGATTTTATCAATACATAAGTCAATGTATGTGTAACTTCTGTGATACTATATATAGATATATATATATCTAAAAGGCTCATGAGAGAGTGATCTTTTTTGGACTTGTCCAAACTTCACTGGCTTTGGCTCCATTGCTTAAGTTTTTCAGAAATATACCTGAATGAAAAAAGATTAAACATGAAATCTTCAAAGATTTAAAATATATCATTGTTTCAGGGAGGAAAACATTTCATGAAAAGAAATGCCCTTCTTAAACACAAAATTTCATTTTGACACAACCAAATAAGAGCTTTTTAATATGTTTAATATTCATTATAAAAAAAAAGTTATAGAATATATGTGAGTGCATGCGAAACTACTGTGAAATACATACATACCTAAAAGGTACGTAAAAGTGTTCAATTTTGGACTTGACCTATCTTGACAGAATTGGGCACTTATGTATCTGTATAAGTTTAAGTTTAATCATTAAATTTGTTTACATTCGTATTGTATCAATAAAAACAAGAGAAAAACTATTTCAAAAAGGGAAATGTCTTTTTAAAAAATACAAGCTTGCATTATGATGCTACATGAAAATGATAGCAATTTTTTTTTTAATATGTACATTGTATTTAAAAAAATCAAGATATTATTAATAAATAAAAGAATGTATGTGAAACTATTAAAGGTAAAAGTTTAACAAATAAAGAAATCTAATGTGCAGTTTTGAAAAAAACCTTTGCAATCAATTTTCTTGTTATATTTTACCCCCAAAAATAAAATAAACATTAAAAGGTATTTTAGTGAAAATAATTTTGGACAGCATGCACATATTGAATTATATCTTTGTTTATAAATATAATTCAATCTAATAAATATTTTGGAAGAAACTGTCCTGTCAAATTATAAGGTAGTGTTTATATTTTGGTGGAAAAAAAAATACATATATAAAAACATTATGTTTGGGGAAATTATATACGTTAAGACAGAAATTATTTCATTTCTACATTTTTATAATCAACATATCTTCTTTAAAAATCACTTCAAAACATATTTATTTGCTAAAATTGGGGTGTTTTTTTAGTTTAGGATCACAATCGGGTAATATTAAGTTGTAGGGAAATATTGCTTACACTGACAAGGCATTTTATACAGGGTGGCCCTCTCAGGGTTTCAGAATGTTATCTGTACATTTTTTCAAAACTTCTTTGAAAAGAATCATCAAAAACCTAATAAAATCATAATTTTATAATATCTGAAATATAATTGGACCAATAATAGAAAGATGCAGCATAAGATTCTCTGAATAGGATTTGATGAATATTTTCATCCTTAAAATGGCCTCTCAAGGAGTTTCATCAGTTACAACTTAAGAGTTAGTTATCTTGAAATCTGTCGATGAAACAGTTGACTTTAAACATGTAAAATGCCATGAAAATATCTTAGAATATCAGGTACAATAACAAATTACCTATTTGAAATGCATTTCAAAATTTTATCATCAAACAAAATGTACACAATTAGAAAACAACTTACCTCAATAATGATATTGAAGAAATCTGAAGACTTGTCAATGCTTCGAATGAAAATCTTTGGAAAAAGATCTAACAAGCTGTCAAGTTCCAAATGTCAACACTGCTAGGACAGAAAGTGGTCTCAGCAGACTGCAGGAAGTACTGGTAGTACTGTTTTCTTGATGACTCATTTTACGGCAGAGTTTCTCTACAGACTTTATTGGTTTGACATAAAAACGTTTTTATAAGAAAATGTCCACATAAATTTCGCTACATCATTTTTTTTCTTAAAGCTCAGATCATAAGCTTTCATTTCATGTATAGATTGTGTATACCTCTCTCAGATATCAAAAACAAATGGTTTTTGAAGGAATATCAGGTTTGTGTCCTGCCCTTGTAGAGTGGTACACCACAAGCAGATGAGTGGTACACCACAAGCAGTAGAGTGGTACACCACAAGCAGTAGTATGGTATGGCACAAGCAGTAGTGTGGAATGGTACAAGCAGTAGAGTGGTGCACCACAGCCAGTAGAGTGGTATGACACAAGCAGTAGAGTGGAATGGTACAAGCAGTAGAGTGGTACACCACAAGCAGTAGAGTGGTATGACACAAGCAGTGGAGTGGTACACCACTAGCAGTAGTGTGGTATGGCACAAGCAGTAGTGTGGAATGGTACAAGCAGTAGAGTGGTACACCACAAGCAGTAGAGTGGTATGACACAAGCAGTAGAGTGGTACACCGCAAGCAGTTGAGTGGTACACCATAAGCGGTAGAATGGTATGACACAAGCAGTGGAGTGGTACACGACTAGCAGTAGGGTGGTATGGCACAAGCAGTAGAATGGTATGGCACAAGCAGTAGAGTGGTATGGCACAAGCAGTAGAGGGGTAAACCACAACCAGTAGAGAGGTATGGCACAGGCAGTGGAGTGGTATGGCACGAGCAGTAGATTGGTACGCCACAACCAGTAGAGCGGTATGCACAAGCAGTGAAGTGGTATAGTAGGAGTTTTCGACAAAGTGTTTTATTAAACATGAAGAATCAGCTCTTACCTTTTGACTTGTCAGACTTTACGAGTAAAGCCCAATCAGACCGACAGACAACTATCTGCAGTCATGTGAATAATTAGTGTGACGTCATTACATTTCAGCTATGGCTGTTAGCTTCAACGACTTGCTGAAAGAGTACTCAAGGAAAGTTAGAGGTATGTAAACGTTTGCTTCACACCAAGCAGGTGGTCGGATGTAATGGGACATCTATGTGGTGCCGTACGTGCAAAGTAGCCCGCATCAAACTCGAGAGACGAAGGTTAATGTCATGCTCCCTCTCCAACCCTCTGTGTGTGTGTGCGTGCGTGCGAGTGTGCGCGTGTGTGCATGTGCGTGTGTGTGTGTGTGTGTGTGTGTTTAGAGATAGGGGTGGGGATTGGGAGGGATTATAACACCTTTCCTTGTTGTTTCTTGGTGTTGTATCAACTTAGTTTCCACTTGGGAATCAACAACGGAAATAAAGGAACAATCGGTCAATAATAATGCTTATAATGATCAAATCATTAAATAAAGGTTAGTTATATGATAAACATGGAGACATTATATGATCAATGAGGTATGTTATATATAATTGTACTTACACTTGTGTTTTCGTGATCTAACAGATCTTCAACATGCGGGACAATGGATGTACAATCAAGTGAATCCATGTGAAGAGGAATCATACCCTGGTCAGACAAGTTTTCATTTTATGCATCGAAACATATTCCAAATTGCATAGAGGACAAAATAGTGATGAAAGTTATAAGAGTGGATGACAAATGTGTCAGTAAAATTGTAAGTGCTGTGGCCAAGAAGAAGCTCTCTGTTTGTTTGTTGTTTTACGCCGCACTCAGCAATATTCCAGCTATATGGTTGCGGTCTGTAAATAATCGAGTCTGGACCAGATAATCCAGTGATCAGCATCATGAGCATTGATCTACGTAAGTAGGATATGGTGAACTGTGTCATACAAGTCTGACTTCCCGATCTCGTTAGTCTCCTCTTGGGACAAGCATGGGTTGCTGAAAACCAATTCTAACCTGGATGTTCACGGGCAAGGAGATACGGAAACGCCACCATCAAAGGCAACATGGCGTTTCAGTGAATTCTTCTGAATGGCGTCCTTATAACTTGTGGAGCGACATGTGGTGAACTTGGTAGCCATCAAACTGTATTGTCTGGTTCCTTTCAGGGAGGGCCTGTGTTGAACCAAGCTGCCCAGCACCCCAGTCCACAACACTGGAAGAAAACCTGAGAAGTGTCCTGTCTACTATGTCGGAACGAAATCTCCAGGATCTGGACCTAATAATGGGACTGTTCCCAGAGCCCCCTACCGGCAAAAGAACAATGTTTGTCACAGCAACATCCAGCAACCACTTCTACGAGTCCCAGGCCCTGATCCGGAACCTCCACAGGAATGTCTTCCCTCTGATTAATAACTACACATTTGTGCTCTATGATCTGGGACTGACGGCAGCTGAACGAAAGCAGGTGAAACCAATAATATTGTCTCCAATAGATATATCTGTAACATTTATTTTATGTATGATGATCAGCGTTCACCCATCACGCCGAAGACTCAGGTTCGATTCCCCACATGGGTACACAGTGTGAAGCTCATTCCTGTGTCCCCTTGATATTACTGGAATATTGCCGCAAAACTAAAATTCACTCACTCACAAAAAGGAAATACATACACACACACACACACACACACACACACACACACACACACACACACACACACACATACATACATACATACATACATACATACATACAAAATGAACATAATACTAAGCAATTATTCAATGAACATAATACAAAACAATTACAAAATGAAGATAATAGAAATCAATGACATCAAATAACAATAATTCTTCAAAGCACAAAATGCAGTTAGCAACCAGTATGAATCATCTTCACGTGATAACAATACTTTGGATATTATTAATTATCAGTATACATGTTTACTGTTTACATTTACTCAGTTGAGTTGCCTCTGCATGTGTTTGTGATATTGTCATGAATATATTCGTATAATGAATACGGAATGGTACCACAGAACACATCTTTTCTGACGATTATAGAAATATTTTTGTCTCCTTTATTCACAGATGGAGAAACATTGTCGTTGTGAAGTTCGGAGATTTCCGTTGGAGTTCATGCCTTCAAGGTTGCACAATCTCAAATGCTACACATGGAAACCGATTATTATACAGGTGAGCTATGTTCTGTTGCCGTACATTAACATGTGCATTTTCAGGAGAAAATATAAAATTCATTGAATATTATCCAGTATAAGATGTATATAGACTTTAGGCAAACAGTTTTAAGCAACATATCAGCGCATATACATCAGTATGTAACCTTGTCTGTGCATGCAGTTCGGAGATAAACCCGTGAATATACTGTAGAGTATACCTGTAAACACAACGGCGGTAAACTGAACGAAGAACTGAACACAGAGATTAACTGTTTTCAGGTTATCATGACAAATCTGAACTGTTTGGTGTCAGCAGGGATGATGAGTGAGAGAGGATGACACCAGACAATTACACTAAGTACATGTGCAAGCTTGTTTTGACCATTAATGTATTATAAATTACACAGTTTCAATCTCGGTGTTTTCCTTGATTTTTCACAGTATTCCCCCGAACGTACACTTATATGTATTTAGAGTCAATTACTTCCTGCCTAAAATAAATGACCATACATATTTTTTGTGATTGTAAGTGCCCCATTCTTTCTCCTCACGCTGAAGACCTGGGTTCGATTCCCCATATGGGTACAAGGTGTGGAGTCCATTTCTGGTGTCTCCCGCTGTGATATTGCTGGAATATATCTAAAAGCGGCGTAAAATCATACTCACTCACTCTTCATATCGTAGTTGTTTCTACGATGGGGTTCTATCGATCAGACTGTTTTTACGAAGATTTCAAAGATTGTCATTTGATACTTGCTCTGTGTTTTTTTGGCCAGGGTTAGTGTCTTCAAAGCCTACATCAAGTTTTCAAAACGTTTTATGGTGGACATGTGTTTTGTATTTCCTTAGTTTGGGGCATCAGTGACCGAAATAGTGTATGATGCAATTCTCATTTTCGACTTGTACCATATATCAACAACAGCTCAGATACATTTTCTCCCTCTGTTGTTGTAGGCTAACCTACATAAGGCAGACATACTGGTGTGGATGGACGCGTCTGTAACATCTTAGGCTAGGTATTATATCTAGGTTTTGTACTTTCAGGCTAACCTACTTAAGACAGACATACTGGTGTGGATGGACGCGTCTGTAACATCTTAGTATAGGTTTGCATCTGGTTGTTGTACTTTCAGGTTAACCTACATAAGGCAGACATACTGGTGTGGATGGACGCGTCTGTAACAGCTTAGTATAGGTTTGCATCTAGTTGTTGTATTTTCAGGCTAACCTACATAAGGCAGACATACTGGTGTGGATGGACGCATCTGTGAGGTTCTCCAACAGTATCATCAAATCCCTGCTAGATGATGCAGAGAGACGAGGCATGGTCTTAGCCTCAGGTACAAACTCTGTGGCACAGCATACTCTACAGGTTACAATGAACTACATGAAGGAAGACGTCTGCACCCTAGCTCCAGTGTTAGAGCATGAAGCAACATTCATCATGTTTCACAACGAGCAGTTGGTACAAGAGGCCGTTGTGAAACCATGGGCAGCTTGTGCCATGAGTGCTAAGTGCATGTGTCCTCGGGATCCAGAACAAGACAGCTTCTGTGAGGTGAACATCCACAAATACAAGAAATGTCATCGATTTGACCAATCAGGAATAAACATCATCCTCGCCAAACTTTTTCGGGACCACACAAGTAGTTTTATTTCGCCATACTATTACTATGTCAGTTTACAGCGTGATGATTCTTATCTTTATTTTGATGAACTGGAGAAATGGCATGCAGCGCGGGCTAGTCGTCTCCCTTGACAATAGATCTGTTGTACTGTCTTCTTAGGACCAGCTTTGCTTAGGGTTTGGTGTATAGAAATATTCCAAGTATTCAGAGTATTCTGAGACATTCGGAGTATTCTGAGACTTTCTGAGTCATTCTGTACATTCTTAGTATTGTGAGACATATGTAGAATAAAGACATCTTGGTACTTCGGAACATTTCAGAACCGAATGTTATTAACAAAAGGAACCCCGAAAAGGATGAAACCTGTGGCATTGCTCTGGAATGAGTAAATTCACCTATCAGAGAACTTTCATTTCGAAACCTGTGTGTCGAATGTCTTTGGTTCCGCCTGAAAAAAAGGTTTCGACTTGCCAATTACCAAGACTCAATAGATGCCGCCTAACAACCTCGATAATCTGCAGGGTATACGTTACAATCACTCTCCACTATACCTTGGATGCATCCACGGCTTGGCCCGATGATTATGTTACAGAAATCTAACCCACTCAGCCAACGCCTTCTCCACAAAGCGTAAGTCGGACATCTGGTAGTCCAGATCACTAGAAACAATAAAAGGAATGTAAAAGTTGTCTGTTGTTATACTGTTTTATACATTTGCTTTTACGAAAATGTCAAAGGTCCAACGCACAGCGCTAGGTGGGAGAATGTATAAAGATAACAATATAATTACGAAGCCAATTAGATAGGATTAATATACAAAGATAACAATGTTAGCATGAAGCCATTAAGATAAACGGTAAGGTAATGTAACACGGCGGTGATTATAGAACAATGGAGTATACACTGGGAAGGTAAATGCCTTTGTCTCGGTTAATGGCTGGCTTCTTTCTCTGGATCTCGATGTTTTCTTGACGTTAACTCTTTGTACAGTGGTTGATGCTGGTATGTAGAATCTGGCTTGTTTTCAGGAAATATTTGAACACAACCCCCACACTTGGCTTTGTCACTACAATATATTGGTATCTTTGTACATTAATCCTATCTAATTTGCTTCGTAATTATATTGTTATCTTTGCACATTCTCCCACCTTGTTTTATCTCTATATATTCACTCTGTACACTGACTCGGCAATCACCTGATGAAAGAGCAAACATTAGCTCTGAAACGTCGTATAAAGAATAAAAAGAAGTTGTTGTCCATAAAATCGTGTCATGAATGAATGAATGAATGAAGCACGAGTCAGCACGGCTGTACGCGTGCCTCTGTTGATAATAAAGCATCCTGTACAAAGTAAATATTTCCAAGACGCTTGAATGTAGTCCAGTGAATAACTTTGGAATGCGGTGGAGGTGTAGTATGTGTAGTATGTGTCATTAAGAACAGTGACCCATAAAGATTCGGGTTAGAATTGGCTTTCAGCAATCCATGCTTGTCGTAAAAGGCGACTAACGGGATCGGGTGATCAGGCTTGCTGACTTTGTTGACATGTCATCGCATCCCAATTGTGTAGATCGATGATCATGCTGTTGATCACAAACATATCACACAGCTGGAATATTGCTGAGTGTGGCGACAAACAAAAAAAACTGTGAAGAATGAAAGCATATTCTGAGATCTCACAGATCTCACCGGTTGTACAAACCTCGTAATTCTACTTTTTTATTCAATAATGAGCCACCCTAATTAGGTTGTGAGATACCAATAAAAGCATAAAATAACATTGATAACATGAAAAAAGCACTCCAAAACACACACGCACCGACGCGCACGCACACACACACATACCAGCCATACAGACAATATTAACATCGTTGGTGCACACATTCATATGCAAATACATGTTTGATACCTGTGATACCATAAACACTGAAGTAATATATAAACGAAAACACACCTGGAATAGAGCACACATTCGTGTACTGAAATGTTAACCATGAACATATTTGATACCTGTGATACCATAAACACTGAAGTAATATATAAACAATAACAAACCTGGAATAGAGCACACATTCGTGTACTGAAATGTTAACCATGAACATATTTGATACCTGTGATACCATAAACACTGAAGTAATATATAAACAATAACACACCTGGAATAGAACACATATTCGTGTACTGTAATGGTAACCGTGTACATATTTTGTATGGTAATATAAGTATCGAATATCTGGTATCCCCCGCCGTGGTATTGCTCAAAGCTGCGTAAAACTTAACTCACTCACTCTTACATCATCCCTCCATTTCTGTCATCCCTTCTTCTACTCTAAGGAAAGCAAGCTGTTTTGATGTAAGAGTATGAATCAGAATGAATAAAATGAATCGTCAAAACCACTGTAACAGTTTCATTGCATTGCCTTTATGCCCCAGAGCAGTCCAATTCCCTGTAAAAGGTTCTGGTATTTCAAGAGAAATTAAACCAAGTTACATGAGTCATGTTTCCTAGTGAACCTGAGTAATGAACTGATAGTAGACTCCACTGGAGTCGGCTCCAGGTCGAGACCATAGCTGCAACTCCAGCATCGAGCTCACCATGTCGGCTTTTTGTGCGTTGAACACATGCATCATGACTGCCCTCTTGATCTCCTCTTGGCTTGCACAATGAAACATCCCATTTGATTGTGGGAGGACTGGGTACAGTAACGTTTTATTCTTTACATGGAAGGTCTGCAAAGAATGCATGGCGTAGAAGAGTACTCAAGAGAGAAAACATCACTGGCTGTGGAATAATGACCTGTGAATACGTCAGGGGCGACATACAGAGGGTACACAAGCCGGTAGTCATGTAGTAGGTGTAGGAGATGGTTGCCAGGTTACTAAATGGAAAGGTCAAACGAGCAAGTGCCGCGTCAGCAATCTTGCAGGTGGGTTTATGATGAGCTCGGGCCACCAGCAGGACGTTGCTGGGTTTGATGTCTCTGTGGATGATCCTTTGTCTGTGGAGATGGTGAATAATCCGTGCCATGTCCAGCATGAAATAATTTAACGTTCCCTCTCCTGGCCTGTTTTTTTATGACATAGTCATTCAATGTTCAAGGTTACAGTACTCCATTTGAATATTAATCTCAACACCAATCCACGCTGTAATCACTTTTTTACGATATTAGGGTGATCAGCGCACATCGTCAGTGTCCGTAATTCTCCTCGAGACGTTTACCATCCAGGTGGGGACACCTCCTTTAGTTTCTTCCAGAGCATATACATGACCATCGATCGTCAACTTGTACACAGCACCAAACTGACCTTCTCAAAGTTTTCCATAAATTATATGACCTGCGTTGAATTCTCCGTCGCCATATTGAATTGCAGCTAGTCAACACGGACGTTGTCTATTCACACCAGCAGATTGAGAGTCGTGTGTTTATTAGGTCATTGCATTATAGGTCACCTTACAAATTTAATTCAATGTTGATCGAAAGCTGGTAGCTATTTCTCAGCTTTGAACGCTACAAGTTCACGTTACAGTGGATGTCACTCAATACCCATCATGAAAGTAGCAGTTCAGGAGGGCACTATGCATGTCTTACTGGGATAGCTGTAGCTCTCTCGTCGACATACTACCAGCGCATAAATTGTAAATAGACAGGTGTAAATATAGACTGGCTGGTGAGGTCAAATATAGGTTGAGTGGCTTATCTTGTGCCTTGAAGTGCTGGGCTCGAGCACATCCTTCCGAAACATTACACGTTAACATTGGAATCTTATCATAATATTACAGACAAACGGGATCGGGTGATGAGACTCGCTGACTTGGTTGACACATGTCATCGTATCCCAATGGCGTAGATCGATGATTATGCTTTTGATCACCGGATTGTCTGGTCTGGACTCGATTAAATACACACCACCGCCATATAGCTGGAAAAGTGCTGATTGCGGCGTTAAACAACAAACAAACACAATATTACAGATCTGTATTTCTCATAGTTTTGACAATGAATCAAGTAAATGAATGTCTGTTAGAGTAAGTATATGAAGACATGTTTCAAGACTTTATAAGTAAACAGTTTGTTTGTATGTACGCCTTACTAATACTATCTGTCGCATATGATGAAATTAGTGATTTCTCAGTGATGTCCAACGTTCAGGTTTGCATGCATTTCTTCTTCACTCGGGGTAGGGGCGGTGGGGTAGCCTAGTGGTTAAAGCGTTCGCTCGTCATGCCGAAGACCCGGGTTCGATTCCCCACATGGGTAAAATGTGTGGAGACATTTCTGGTGTCCACGTGATATTGCCGGAAAAATGCTAAAAGCTGCCTAAATCTAGGAATGTGAAAAGGGGTCATAAGGGGTGATAAATGACAGGTTTGATAAATCCAAACTCACTCACTCACTCACCCGGGATAGATCACTGACATTTCGCAATCAATGATTTATTCTATTTCGCAATCAATGATTTATTGTCTGGTTCTAAAGAGAGCCATGTTTGCATTACTGAAGAAATCAAGAACTTCAATTTGGCACTTGATACTGTAATTCATCTATTCGATATTATAATACTACCCATTGCCCTATATGGCAGCGAAATATATGGGTATGAAAATACTTTAAATGCTGAAAAGTTAAATCTTAAATTTCTCTAGTTTGGAACAGGATTACGATTATCACCCTCTAACTTTATGGTTTATGGCGAACTGGGTCGTTTCCTGTGAGCATTACAATAGCTAAAGGATGATTACATTTGGTATAATTTAGAAACCGCATCTTCCCCGTATAGGTTATCATCGCGTGTCCTTCAACTCTTCAAACTAGACAACTCTCTTAATCTCCGTAATAATAACGTATGGATATCTCATATAAAAGTATTTTAAACAGTTGTGGCTTAACTTATGTATTGATCACCCTAGTTGTGTTTGCAAACAGTGGCTAGTCTCAATGGTTGAATCAACTCTTAAAGATCACATTTTACAGAAATGGAGGAAGATATTCATATAAGTTCAAGGGTAATTATTATAAATTGTTCAAAGATCTGCCGTCATTTGAAAAGTACCTTCTATTACCTGTCTACATCTCACGGCCCATTATGTCATTTCGGACATCGAACCATCTCATTACTCATTAGAGACTGGCCGCTGGAATAATATATCAAGAATATTCGGCGATAGCCTACGAATTCCACTATCTATTTAAATGCTCGTTCTTCGACAACATAAGATCCCAATATATCCGACTTTTACAGTAAATGGTCGAATCTTGTAAAATTTAAACTATTGTTTACCTCAGATGATTATTCACTTGTTAAGAATATTTCAAGATTTATAAGAACTATCAATAACACTTTAAAAAGATAAACACTGATACATTGTATATTCACTGTTACCAAGTGATCGTAACAACTCATCATTTATGTTATTACTTTATTTGTACTGTTCCTGTACCACCAATGGTGGTTTGTCGGAATACATATTGAATTGAATTGAATTGGATGTGTCTGTCTCATTTATGTAGATTTCACATGACTGCAACCGTCTCATATGTCTATGTCATAAGACAAAAACAAACAGCTATATTCCGTGTAAAGGCTTCATGACCAAAGTACAAAGTGCTTGCAAAGTTTTCAGCAGTAAATTACCCGTAACAATTTATTGAAGCGTCCTTAAAATATCTTCATACGAGACAAAACGTCCTCCACAGCATGAAGGAATTATTGGTTGGTTTGTTGTTTAACGCTCCACTCAGCAATATTGCAGCTATATTCTGGCGGTCTGTAAATAATTGAGTCTGGTCCAGTCAATCCAGTGATCAACAGCATGAACATCGATCTACGCAAATGTTATACGATGACATGTGTCAACCAAGTCAGCAAGCCTGACCACCCGATCCCGTGAGTTGCCTCTTACGACAAACATGGGTTGCTGAAGACCAATTCTGACCCGGATCTTCACGGGTATGAAGGAATGAATAACCACATAAGTATGCTCAAGGCGCTGGAAGATAAGAAAGATAAAGTTCTTAGTTTGAAGGAAAGGCGAGACGAAACAGCTGAGACTTTAATGCGGTCTTGAAATATGAAAAGTTATGGCATGTTTTCCGTTCTTAGGGCAGTTTGTTCCACTCAGTAATCGCTGCATATAAGAATGATTTCTCGATCTCAGTGCCCTTGTCGGAATGTATGGTTTTACAAGTTCACACTGGTATTCTGGAGCACTGTTAGTTACACACTGGAAGGTTAGGCAGAGTAGTTTGTAGGTTATCCTGTATTGCACTGGAAGCTAATCTAAGTCTTTCAAAACTGGAGTGGTGTGGTCATACCTTTTGCAACGGGGAGACAATTATTGCAGCAGTATTTTGAATACGTAAAGTTTAGTGATGGCTACTTTGGGTGTACCAGCGAGAAGAACATCATAGTGGTCAATTCTTGACATTACCAAGGATAGAGTCAGTTTCAATGCAGCATCTTTTGTGCGATATTTCCGGATGTGGCTGATGTTCCGACTCTGTAGAAAGCAGATCTTTGAGAGATGATTCGTATGATTTTCAAGTGATTGTTCAGAGTCCATAGTTACTCCGAGATCTTTTACAGTTGGAGATAGTATTATTGGCGAAGATGCAATCTGAGATTTCTGTTAGTCTTGCCTTTTCACGTCTTTGAGCAGGACCAATCAGCATAGCTTCTGTTTGGGCTTCATTGAGACAAAGCATGCTTGTACCCATCCACTGTTTGATTGCTGAACAGCAGCTGGTTACCTTGGTGGAGGCTGATGAAAAGTCTGGACTGATTCCATCAACGTATAAAAGCCGGAGCAGATTGTGCTGCTCGACAAGGGACCCAAGCAGTTTGATATAGGGAGTAAAAAGTACAGGACCTAAAACAGAACCTTGGGGTACCCCGTATTCCAGCAGAGTGTTGTGTGCCATCCCGCTGTGATGTAGAAACTCTGGTGTCTGTCTGAGAGGTAAGATTTAAAACCATTTGTCAGCAATATCTACGTCTGAGTGAAGAGGGAAAAGAGTATCATGTGGTCGATCGTATCAAAGTCAAGGAGTACTAAAAGTGCAACGTTTCCGTGTCTACCCTCTTCTGATATCGTCCAGCATCCCAACAACGGTGGTCTCTGTGCTGTGCTTGGGTTTGTACGACGACTGGAAGCGTTCTTGCCGTTTGTGGAGTTCCAGGTGTGAAGAGAGACGGTGACAAGCAGCTCTTTCAATCAGCTTACTCATGAATGCAGATTAGACACAGGCCGGTTCTTATAGGCTTCTTTGTCCAATCCAGGTTTCTTCAGGGAGTATTAACAAGTCTAGTAATTGCTAGGAGAAGAATGTCAAGATTTCCATAGACAAGCCTTGTTGGGATTGCATCCAGAGCGCTTGATGTTGGCTTGGCCTTTTCCATGAGTGACCTCTCCTCTTCCTCTGTGAATTGCTGAAGGGTACTAAGATTGTCGATAAAACGAGTCCTCCAACTCTTTGCGGATTATTTCTATTTTGTTGTTGAAGTAGTAAGAAAAAGATTGAGCGATGGGCTATATATTGTCTCCAAAGGAAGAGGTTTCACGGTATTTCTGCCCATTAAGGAGAATAGAAGCTTGTAGAGTTCAGCATGGTTTGAGGAAGCGTAATTTATTTTGATGTTCATAAAGTCATGTTTACTTTTCTTGATCAGTGATGTCACGTTATTTCTTGCCTCCACGTATATCTGTCTATGGACCTCATAGTGAGAATTCCTCAATTTCTTCTCTGCTCTTCTCCTCTCAGATTTAGCATATCTCACTTCTGGAGTGAAAATCAATGTTAGCCCAATCTCTGTGGTTCTTTCTTCAATCTCCCCGAAGCATGTTTGTTCAGTGTTTGAGTTAGCACAAAGTTATAGAGATTGGATAGTTCATCAGTTATCTGGAGGAGATTGTAGCAGCTCAGAGTTAAGTAGATCTTCTCTGAAGGCTTGTTTGTTCATGTTGTTGATATTTGTACATGCCACTGATATTTTGGGAGGTCTATAGTGGTATCCAACTCCAAGTTATCAGAAACATGGACCCCGACTTTTAATGCAAAAGTATTAGTAGCAATATTTTAATCACGGAAACAGTTTCTGCTATCACAGCTTCGGCCATTATGCATATTCTGCAAGCGGTCACGTGACCTTCTACACGTCATATGTGACCAAGGTCTACCATAATGGGTAAGACCAAGCGCTTCAATAATGTTAAGCGCTTTTTTCTGACGTTATTGTAATTGGTAAAATGGGATATTGTGCTGCATGGGATTGTACGGCGTCATCGAATAATTGAAACAGGTATTACGGACGAGGTAGACAGGTTAGGAGGCAGTTTTCGATTGACAAAATCTGTTACCGTAGAACGCTGATTTGGTAATAAAATAATTTCATGTTCATTTTATAATATTCCATTTATACTACATCATTACATGTTACATCTTACTGCCAGTGGATATTTAACATTGATTAAATCAAGTCCGATTGTGATAAAATATATTTTAGCAAAATCAGTAAGAGATTTCTCATGAGCTTGAAAATGTTTCGCCATAACGTTCGTTCTGGTTTGGAGCCCCAAATACTGCAGTCTACCCGGTAAAAACGTTATTTATAAATAACGGCAAATGATGAACTCCCTGTTTCATTCATTGTTTTTATTTTTTGTTGAGTTACACTACTCGCAATTTGTAAGTATTGTGTGCCATGAAAATTGTTCTGTAATCTCATTGGCTGGACTGATGTTATGACCTAGTGGCCAAAGGTACAGATAAGTTGCGTATCTGCGTAAATTACGCAAATATTTATGTGAAAACTCAATTCCTATTAAGTCTATTGCGTACAAGTACTCTTGAATTTTTGTAAATACCCAATAAATGTGATCTTACATGCGTGCACACAAAAATGTCAAATCTTAGCTTGCGTACATATAGATAGATAAAATAACTTAGGTATATTAAGAGGTTCTATTTCAGGACAGGAAGTTTGCAACTTGCAGTCTTTCTGATCGTTTCTCATATTACAGATCAAATATAAATAACAAACACAAACACAAAGCACATAACTCAATGACCCAAAAAAGTTATCTGTAGCTCTGTAGTGCCATAACTATTTCCATACGCTAAAACAAGGGAAATATACATTGTCCTGACTACAGTCTGTTTGGGTCAAAATGATACTGATGAATCACAATCTACTTCCTAATCGGTTCATGATCAAACAAACATTCATGTCAAGGCTGTTCCTGCAACAGTAATACTGTTACTTTACCCTCGTAAAACTTCACACGGAAGAGTTTTGATACAACCCCTAAATATTGACATCCCAAGCAGCACGTGCTTCCCGCCCTTGAGGATGTTCCTGAAACAGTTTACTGTTACTTTGCCCTCGTAAAACTTCACACGGAAAATCAAAACAAAATGATAATAGTTTGTTCAACAACTTTTTTATTTTGGAGACAAACGTTATGAATTTTTTTCCAGAGTTGGTCTGATGTTTTCATCACATTCTGCGTTGAAATGAATGTTTGATCATGAACCGATTTGGAGTCAGATTGTGATTCATCGGTATCATTTTGACTCCAACAGACTATAGTATTTTATAATTCACTAGATTTCGGAACATAAATAATATGCGTCGCTTATGTTATATCTGCTTGACCAGGCTGGGATCTTGTATGGAGACAAGGATAATTTATTAATGAGAACTTGGATCCTACTTTTCTTTAACGAAATAATTCCTTGAAACAGTGTAATCTTTCTAGCAGACAATTTCTATTTTTCCCCTTCTAAAGCACAATTATTTTTGAAAACATACTCTGGGACAATCAATTTGTTTTGATTTTTTAAAATCCTGCAGTGACCCGTTTATCACAAAAGGAACTGCAATCACATTTGGAGTTTTGGGGGTCTTAGGGATTGGTCATTTATTGCAGGAGTGGGTGTTCTGGTTGAAACTGTATCACATTTTGTCTTCATCTCCACTGGAAGATCTCTTGCAAGATGTAAAATCGGTTCATATTGATACGGACAACCATCCATGTTAAAAATGACATCAAGGAACATATTTTACTGCTTCAAAAGCTATGGTCAGGGGCGTAGGAACGGTTTTCAGAGCAGGGGAGCTAATTTATGAAAATTATTGAAAATCAAAATGAAATTGTAGTTATGGTAAGGTAGATATGGTTTCGTCTTGAAAAAAGTGGTTAAAGTGGAAAAAAGTTAGTATTCTCCTTTAAGTGTAACTGACTGATAACGGTGTCTCCCGGGCCTTGACCCTTGAACCTTGAACCTTGACTTTATGTTAGATACTGAACGTTAGTTTACAGTTTGTGGCCATATGATGAATACAACTGGTAAATACTGACCAGATGACCCCTACTTAATCTGCAAGAGGAACGTAAACTATAGACCTATTTTTTCTGTTTCTCATTTCTCACCCGTCCTGAATTTTGAGTTGACATCTAAAACAATAAAAAAAGTTTTCTTTTCTTAAATTTTACCAGCGGCAATTTATGCCCTGACGTATTTACAATTTACTCATATTCCTACACATTTATAAAGAACTAGGTCAGCCGATCTAAATTAGAAGACAAAAGACTATGGCTAAATAATCAAATTAATTAATAAAATCATAAAACAAGATTCCACACAATCAATGAAAAACCTATTTAATTGTATTAACATGTATTTATTCATTCACTCGCATTCTTGCTAGTTTAGTAAGTAAATGAGTTGGGTTTTACACCGCTTTTAGGAATATTCCTGGGCGACATCAAAAATGGGCTTCACACATTGTACCCATGTTGGGAACTGAATCCGAGCCTTCGGCGTGACGAGCGAACGCTTTAAGAACTGAGCTACCTTTTTTTACAATATTTCCTGGACATTTACTTTATTATTTGAAAACTAGTTGATTTAAACAAAAAAATCTTATTCTACAATTATCACCCGTCTTCAGAAATATTATTCTCTGTTATTCTGCAAGTAACAGAATTCTCAATATGTGGGAATCCTGGTCAGCGCTATACGTTTACTAAACTGTAGAAAAGTAATGTCAATAAAAGTATATCAATAGCTCCTAAAACTTTAGCCAAGAAAAATCAAAGGACGAAAAGTCTGCCTCATGTGCAAAGTTTGAAACCTAAGGGTCAGCGCCATGTGCAGACATAGGAATAACTGCAGTGTTGTACAATGACTCTTTGCCGATCCGTGAAAGAATTTAGATCTCGTCTTACTGTGAGATTTAAATAAACCTACACCAAAGCAAACAAGTGGTCGGCCATGCGCGATAGAGGGGAAGTACAACGTGACACATCCTAACGTGACACATCCTATCGCTGTAATAGTCCATTTCCTCAAATGAGGATATCATTCTACACTTCTTGAACGCCGTGACTATGGAATACAAAATAATGCCATGAAATGCTACTTGTGATGACCGTTAGGTCTCAGATTCGTGAAGACTGATTATTTGCCCTCCTGAGCGTTCTGAGAATTTGCATTTGGAAATTCATTGCCATGTATACGGTAGATTAATCCTTGCTATCAGCAGGCAATGTTGAAAGGCCGCACGATGTCACATATGCGTCGGATGTACGCGATGATGGCGGGGAAGAGTACAATCCAGAAGTTGGCCAGAAAGATTACAAAAAGACCTGTTATGTGTGAGTAGACGTATCATGTTCCTTCTATACACATTTAACTAAGAGATATGGACGCCATTGTACATGTACTTTACGAAGTATTGACCTACTTAATTAGTTTACTGTCTACTCGTCCTCAGGTGAGGTGCGGATCAATGCAAACAACGCCGTAGAATAATGCACCTCGAATATCTTCCTCCAACAGAATCCATGTGGTGTAAAGGGGAACAATAACGATGTACATCAGTCCATAAATGGTGGTGCAATTAAAATCTATGATGACTCCTACTGGTTGCTAAATAACTTCTAACAGTAGCACCCTCCGCTCACACAGGTTATTCAGTAAGATCTTACTTACAAAACTGTAATGTTTTGAGCCAATGGTGGTCCGGTCGCTCTACCCGCTGCATTCCGCTCTGCAAAGATTCGCCAGAGGCAGAATCCTGTGATCGTGGATTCCAATTCTCGACTTTCTCATTTTGCAGATAGGTTTGTTTCTATAGCTTTCCTTCGCATCATGTAGATATTGTGCATTATAACGTGAACTGATGTTCTTCTCGTCACTACTGTCAACGCGTGGTGTACGCGTCAACTGGGGAATGAGCTCATAATTAAGATGAAGTGTGCGTTGATGATGACGAAGGCATAATTGAGTTCAAACGTCTTTAGTACATGACAAACAAATACACAAGACATGAGCGAGGTGAGCGGTGTACCTGCTCAACCCCAGGGCGTTTCCAACGAGCGGCATTATCCTGCTCGTGGTCGTCCCAACGGACAGTCTAACTACCGAACTCGTACTCCTTCCCTGTCTACATGTGAGCATACTAAGTTTATACTAGTATACAGTTTTTGACAACAATGGACAGGCGACGACTCATCAATGGACAGACAGAAAACAATAGCATTTCCTTGATCAGTTGATGTGATGGCAGACACGGCCAAGGGGGATTACCAATGAAGGTTATAAATGTCATATACAATAATGAATGGGCTGACAAGTCAATGTTACAATGCGGTAGTGATAAGGATGTACAGTAGTGATTAAGAATACAGGTTAGCGTCATATATATATTACAATGAAGTCTCACATGTCTTGAGTACATAGTTTTGGGCTTTTTAAATATTTGGAAGATGGCTGTCCTGAATTAGTCCCTATAACACTACTTCTGACTATTAGTGTATGTAGAGACACCACGCTTGGACATTCTCACTGTGTCAGTGTTCTGTAAACACCTAAATATTCATTCAAATTGTCCACAGTAAGATAGCGTTTCCAAACAAATATAAAAACAGATGTAACCAACTCGTTTCTTGTGTTGGCTTCCTCCTATTGTCACTTCATTATTACCACTATACATGTACATTGTTGTTGTTGTTAATCCCTTTGATGCATACCTACATGTTGGTTTTACTTAATCCCTGTTGATGTTTATAAGTCTGTTCTGTGCTGTAGTATCTCACGCTTGCTTGACAACGGTATAAAAACTTCTAAAATGACAATCAAACAGATGAATATTAATTCAAGTTTTCCACAGTAAGATATCGTTTCCCCCAAAATATTAATAATGTAACCTACTCGTTTCTTGTGTAGGAACGAACGGGTCATATTTTATGAAGTTATTATTTTACATTTAAATACATATGTTTTCACTATATTTTTACCTATGTAGTAGATGTGCATCATTTTATCATTTCTAACAGTAAGTATAAAATATTGCCTTCACTAAATCTTTAGAATTAACTAATCAGAACATGAAGAATGAGGACTTCTTTTTATGGATATACAACTTCTTTATTCTGTATAGGCGACGTTTCGATTCTAATGTCGTTGTCAAGCAAGTGAATCTGTGTCGAAACGTCGCCTATAAAAAATAGTCTTCATTCTTCATCTGCCCAACTTCTAGAATACCAATCAAAGTAATCAGAACATGTCTCACAGTCTGTATGGTTCCAGGTCTTGCCATCTTGGTGCTTTGTGTCTACTTCATTGTGTTCATGAGAAAGCCTTCATATGAATGTATGTAGCATTTACCATTTTATATCATTTATTTAAATATAAAAAATAATGAATTAAACGATTGTAGCTCATTTCCACATATTGAAGAAGAAGATAAAATTTGTCACGAAGAAAGTCGTTAATTAATAAAACATGTAGAATAATTATTAAATCGACGTCTGTATGGCGTAAAATCAAGTTAGCAATGTTGAATAAGTGCCTCTCTGTGGTGTTCTCATCGCTTCTGATCAAAGCATACATGTGTGAGATATACGTACACTAGATTTGCAGTAAGACTTGACAAAATGTACTTTTTTTCTTACAGACGAATACATAGATTTGTCTCATCTTAAAAATATACCAGAAGAAATAGAACCAGGTAAAAAAACTTCACATTTTGGGCAGTGGCGCTCTTGCTTTTGTATGGTGATGACGTAATAATATAAGTGATAAACCCTTTACATAACCACACGAATTCACTACTAAAAGCAGACCAATGTCCGATTACAAGTATGACATATTTGAGCATGAGGTAATGAATCACAATGAAGTAGTGCTGACACCAGGTACCTCATGGGTCAGAAACACATGCAAAGGTACGTCAAGATTTGCTGTTCTTTTGAATGCTGTAATCTTGATCATCTTACTGTCAGAATTAACGCGCGTCCCCAACCCCCACCCACCCCTATGCGCACACCTGCACACACACACATACATGTACACGAAAGCACTCACACACAAGATACTGTAATACCACTGTATTTTCCGTTGATTTCAGTTATATTCGACAATATCACCTTTCACAAGTTGTCTCATCTTGAAAATGTACAAAATGAAGGAGAACAAGAACCAGGTAATGCACGTTTCTCTGTATATACCTCCTTATCACAACTATACTTTACATGGTGCTGTACCACTCCATTGTTTGTGCTCTATCACTCTTGATTGTGCTGTATCGATATTGTTTGTGCTGTAGCACACTATTGTTTGTGCTGTATAACTATTGTTTCTGCTTTATCACTCAGTTGTTTGTGCTGTATCACTCTATTGTTTGTGTTGTAACACTATTGTGTGTGCTGTAGCACTCTATTGTTTGTGTTGTACCACTATTGTTTGTGCTGTACACCTATTGTTTGTGCTGTATCAGTCTGTTGTTTGCGCTGTATCACTGTTGTTTATGCTGTACCCCTATTGTTTGTACTGTATCAGTCTGTTGTTTGTGTTGCACCACTATTGTTTGTGCTGTAGCACTCTACTGTTTGTGCTGTAGCACTATTGAGAGTGCTGTATCACTGTTGTTTGTGTTGTATCACTCTATTTTTGTGCTGTAGCACTATTGTTTGTGCTGTAGCACTATTGAGAGTGTTGTATCACTAATGTTTCTGCTGCACCACTCTATTGTTTGTGCTGTACCATTCTATTGTTTGTGCTTTATCACTATTGAGTGTGCTGTGTCACTCTATTGTTTGTGCTGTACCTCTGTTGTTTGTGATGTATCACTATTGAGTGTGCTGTATTTCTCTATTGTTTGTCCTTTATCACTCTCTTGTTTGTGCTGTATCACTATTGAGTACCCTGTATTACTACAGTGATTGTGCTGTACCCGTATTGTTTGTGCTGTATCACTTCTGTTTGTGCTGTACCACACTATTGTTTGTGCTGTATCACTTCATTGTTTGTGCTTTACCACTCTATTGAGTGTCCTGTACCAATCTATTGTTTGTGCTGTATCACTCTATTGTTTGTGCTGTATCACTGTATTGTTTGTGCTGTATCACTCTCTGTTGTTTGTGCTGTATCACTCTATTGTTTGTGCTGTACAACTCTATTCTTTGTTTGTGCTGTATCACTCTATTGTTTGTGCTGTACCACTCTATTGTTTGTGCTGTATCACTCTGTATCACTCTATTCTTTGTGCTGTATCACTCTATTGTTTGTGCTGTACAAATCTATTGTTTGTGCTGTATCACTCTATTCTTTGTGCTGTATCACTCTATTCTTTGTGCTGTATCACTCTATTGTTTGTGCTGTACCACTCTATTGTTTGTGCTGTATCACTCTATTGTTTGTGCCATATCACTCTATTCTTTGTGCTGTATCACTCTATTGTTTGTGCTGTACCACTCTATTGTTTGTGCTGTATCACTGTATTGTTTGTGCTGTATCACTCTATTGTTTGTGCTGTATCACTCTATTGTTTGTGCTGTACCACTCTATTGTTTGTGCTGTATCACTCTATTGTTTGTGCTGTATCACTGTTTTTTTTGTGCTGTATCACTCTATTGTTTGTGCTGTATCACTCTGTTGTTTGTGCTGTATCACTCCATTGTGAGTGTTGTATCATTCTATTGTTTGTGCTGTATCACTCTATTCTTTGTGCTGTATCACGCAATTGTTTGGGCTATATCACTCTATTCTTTGTGCTGTACCACTCTATTGTTTGTGTTGTGTCACTGTATTATTTGTGCTCTATCACTGTATTGTTTGTGCTGTACCAATTTATTCTGTGTGCTGTATCATTCAATTGTTTGTGTTTATCACTCTATTCTTTGTGTTGTACATCTATTGTTTGTGCTTATCACTCTATTCTTTGTGCTGTTTCACTCTATTGTTTGTACTGTACCACTCTATTGTTTGTGCTGTATCACTCTATTCTTTGTGCTTATCACTCTATTCTTTGTGCTGTATCACTCTATTGTTTGTGCTGTATCACTCTATTGTTTGTGCTGTATCACTCTATTCTTTGTGCTGTATCACTCTATTGTTTGTGCTGTATCACTCTATTGTTTGTGCTGTATCACTCTATTGTTTGTGCTGTATCACTCTCTATTCTTTGTGTGTGCTGTATCACTCTATTGTTTGTGCACTCTATTGTTTGTGCTGTATCACTCTATTGTTTTGTGCTGTATCACTCTATTGTTTGTGCTGTATCACTCTATTGTTTGTGCTGCTCTATTTGTTTGTGCTGTATCACTCTATTGTTTGTGCTGTATCACTCTATTCTTTGTGCTGTATCACTCTATTGTTTGTGCTGTATCACTCTATTCTTTGTGCTGTATCACTCTATTGTTTGTGCTGTATCACTCTATTGTTTGTGCTGTATCACTCTATTGTTTTGTTTGTGCTGTTTGTGCTCTATTGTTTGTGCTGTACCACTCTATTGTTTGTGCTGTATCACTCTATTGTTTGTGCTGTATCACTCTATTGTTTGTGCTGTACCACTCTATTGTTTGTGCTGTATCACTATTGTTTGTGCTGTATCACTCTATTGTTTGTGCTGTATAACTCTATTGTTTGTGCTGTATCACTCTATTGTTTGTGCTGTATCACTCTATTGTTTGTGTGTATCACTTTATTCTTTGTGCTTGTATCACTCTCATTGTTTGTGCTGTATCACTCTATTGTTTGTGCTGTATCCACTCTATTGTTTGTGCTGTATCACTCTATTGTTTGTGCTGTATCACTCTATTCTTTGTGCTGTATCACTCTATTGTTTGTGCTGTACTCACTCTATTGTTTGTGCTGTATCACTCTATTGTTTGTGCTGTATCACTCTATTGTTTGTGCTGTATCACTCTATTGTTTGTGCTGTATCACTCTATTGTTTGTGCTGTATCACTCTATTGTTTGTGTTGTTTGTTTGTGCTGTATCACTCTATTGTTTGTGCTGTATCACTCTATTGTTTGTGCTGTATCACTCTATTGTTTGTGCTGTATCACTCTATTGTTTGTGCTGTATCACTCTATTGTTTGTGCTGTATCACTCTATTGTTTGTGCTGTATCACTCTATTGTTTGTGCTGTATCACTCTATTGTTTGTGCTGTATCACTCTATTGTTTGTGCTGTATCACTCTATTGTTTGTGCTGTATCACTCTATTGTTTGTGCTGTCACATCTTCTTTGTTTTGCTATCACTCTTGTTTGTGCTGTACAACTCTATTGTTGTATCACTCTATTGTTTGTGCTGTATCACTCTTTGTTGTTTGTGCTGTATCACTCTATTGTTTGTGCTGTATCACTCTATTTTTTGTGCTGTATCACTGCATTTATTCTTTGTGCTGTATCACTCTATTCTTTGTGCTGTATCACTCTATTGTTTGTGCTGTATCACTCTATTGTTTGTGCTGTATCACTCTATTGTTTGTGCTGTATCACTCTATTGTCTATTCACTTTTGTTTTGTGCTGTATCACTCTATTGTTTGTGCTGTATCACTCTATTCTTTGTGCTGTATCACTCTATTGTTTGTGCTGTACCACTCTATTGTTTGTGCTGTATCACTGTATTGTTTGTGCTGTATCACTCTATTGTTTGTGCTGTATCACTCTATTGTTTGTGCTGTATCACTCTATTGTTTGTGCTGTATCACTCTATTGTTTGTGCTGTACCACTCTATTGTTTGTGCTGTATCACTCTATTGTTTGTTTTGTATCTGTTTGTGCTGTATCACTCTATTGTTTGTGCTGTACCACTATATTCTTTGTGCTGTATCACTCTCTTTCTTTGTGCTGTATCACTCTATTCTTTGTGCTGTATCACTCTATTGTTTTGTGCTGTATTTCACTCTATTGTTTGTGCTGTATCACTCTATTGTTTGTGCTGTATCACTCTATTGTTTGTGCTGTATCACTCTATTGTTTGTGCTGTATCACTGTATTGTTTGTGCTGTATCACTCTATTGTTTGTGCTGTATCACTCTATTGTTTGTGCTGTATCACTTCATGCTTGTGCTGTATCATTCTTTTGTGCTGTATCACTCTATTGTTTGTGCTGTATCACTCTATTGTTTGTGTGCTATCACTCTATTGTTTGTGCTGTATCACTCTATTGTTTGTGCTGTATCACTCTATTGTTTGTGCTGTATCACTCTATTGTTTGTGCTGTATCACTCTATTGTTTGTGCTGTATCACTCTATTGTTTGTGCTGTATCACTCTATTGTTTGTGCTGTATCACTCTATTCTTTGTGTTGTATCAATTCTATTGTTTGTGCTGTATCACTCTATTGTATTGTTTGTGTTGTCACTCTATTGTTTGTGCTGTATCACTCTATTGTTTGTGCTGTATCACTCTATTGTTTGTGCTGTATCACTGTATTGTTTGTGCTGTACCACTCTATTGTTTGTGCTGTATCACTCTATTGTTTGTGCTGTATCACTCTATTGTTTGTGCTGTATCACTCTATTGTTTGTGCTGTATCACTCTATTCTTTGTGCTGTATCACTCTATTGTTTGTGCTGTATCACTCTATTGTTTGTGCTGTATCACTCTATTGTTTGTGCTGTATCACTCTATTCTTTGTGCTGTATCACTCTATTGTTTGTGCTGTATCACTCTATTGTTTGTGCTGTATCACTCTATTGTTTGTGCTGTATCACTCTATTGTTTGTGCTGTATCACTCTATTGTTTGTGCTGTATCACTCTATTGTTTGTGCTGTATCACTCTATTGTTTGTGCTGTATCACTCTATTGTTTGTGCTGTATCACTCTATTGTTTGTGCTGTATCACTCTATTGTTTGTGCTGTACACACTCTATTGTTTGTGCTGTATCACTCTATTGTTTGTGCTGTATCACTCTTATTCTTTGTGCTGTATTGTTTGTGCTGTATCATTCTATTGTTTGTGCTGTATCACTCTATTGTTTGTGTGTGTGTACCACTCTATTGTTTGTGCTGTATCACTCTATTGTTTGTGCTGTATCACTCTATTGTTTGTGCTGTATCACTCTATTGTTTGTGCTGTATCACTCTATTGTTTGTGCTGTATCACTCTATTGTTTGTGCTGTATCACTCTATTGTTTGTATC